TCCGCAGCCAAAGAAAGGGACCTACAAAGTGCTGATACCGGGTGCAAAGAAAGTGACAGCTGTCCCTGTCCCCACGCACGGGGACTGGGGAAGACCGGTGCGCCTGAAGCTCCAGGGGCGGGAGAAGGACATCGAGGAAGCGGGACTGAGGAAATACGGTTTCAATGAAGTAGTGAGCGAGCGGATCTCACTCCGCCGAAGACTTCCAGAGATTCGCCATCCCGCGTAAGTACAAAGCGCAGTATAAAATCCCCACCTATGGAAAACGAGCCTGTTTACTAACAGAAAACACATACAACTAATTTATTTTTACTGCATTGCGTTTGCTTTAGCAGACGCTCTTACCAACTTACATTTACGCAAATTCACATATTATTCATTTACACAGCTGGATATTTACTTAAATGGTATTTCGTACTAAAACAACAATAAAAGTATATTCAGCCACAGTCATTCAAAACCAGACAGACTGTAGAGTAATGGAGAAAATAAGGGAAAAACATACATCACAAAGATGATCACAAAAACGGGGTGGGCCGAACCCAAACTGTGATTTATGAAACGATTGATAATTTAAGACCAATTTAATAGTCTCTGATTACAGTTTTTATAGATTATGCACGAAAGGGCAGTGATGTTTGGCATAGTTGCTGCCCTGATCAAATGTAATTGTTACATGTTATTGATGCTGTTAAATAGCACCTGCCGTGCGCATGCGTGTCTGTCGCGTATAGGTGTCTGACGCAGCAGTACAGCGCCTCGCTTCCCTCGGCCAGCGTCGTTATCTGCTTCCACAACGAGGCGTGGTCCACGCTGCTGCGCACGGTCCACAGCGTCCTGGACACGGCGCCCAGACAGCACCTGCACGAGATCCTGCTGGTGGACGATCTCAGTCAGCACGGTGGGTCCCTCCTGCTTCCGTTTGCATTACCAACCATTAACTTCCTATAAATGATAAACCTGTCACAAGCAGAGGGTTTGGCTCATTAGCGATCTGTCCCATTTTTAACCTGTAACACCCCCTCCCCGACCCCCCCACAGGACATCTAAAGAGTGTGCTCAGTGAGTACGTGTCCCGGCTGGATGGAGTGCGTCTGATTCGCAGCACGAAGCGTTTGGGCGTGGCCGGCTGCCGAATGCTGGGTGCAGCCCGCGCCCAGGGTGACGTCCTGGTGTTCCTGGACTCACACTGCGAGTGCCACGGGGGCTGGCTGGAGCCCCTCCTGCACCGCATCGCTGGGGACAGGTGAGCCCCTCAAACTGCCCCGCAGGTGCACAGGTGAGCCCCTCAAACTGCCCTGCAGGTGGAAAGGTGAACACATCAACGACTGGTCCCCTAACGACCACGCATCACAGAGAAGGTCTTCAGTGGCATTGCCATCAGGTTGATGGTGCAGAGGTATTTCTCTCTCTCCTGTCCTGGGGGGTTTCAAACTTCACAGAGTCTCCTGTAATTGAAGAGATGAAACCCTTTTGCACTCTGGGTGAAATTAGCACATCGTTTCCCAGGGTGGCATGCAGGAAAATAACAGGACAGGCATCCATGCAGAGGGGGAATTCCTCACCCCCTCCATCCCCAGCCCCCACCCCCAGCACTTTGGCACGTCACTGTGGAACAGTTTAGCACGCCCCAAACATGTCTGTAATTTTGGGTGGGCAAACACACAGTGCAGTGACAGAGCAGCACTCTGTACAGGGGCCAGAGTGAGCAGCACTGGGGCAGAGGGGACCTCCCGGCTGGGCAGCTGCTCTACTCTCCTTCAGAATATGAAATGACTGAAAATACTACAGCATGTCCATCTCACAGGATGACTCTTTTGGAAGTATGTACATCTACAATTAATGAAGGCTTCTCTTCTCAGCTGACTGTACAGATGTTTAAACATGTCTCACTGGATCAGTTAAGTGTGGAGTTGGTTGGTGAAGTAAAACAATAAAAAGAAACAAAAAGATGTTTTCAAATTTAGAGTTTATGTGTAAAACGCAGCTTATTCTGTGTTTGTGCTATAGTCCACGCAGCCATCAACAAGCACACACACACACGCACATGCACACTTGTTCACTGTCACCCCTCTGCACCTGCAGGAGGAGCGTTTGACCTGTGACCTCTGACCTCGCTGGCTGTGTGTCTGTTGCTCGTGGCTGCAGGAGCAGGGTGGTGTCGTCTGTGCTGGATGTGATCGACTGGCAGACCTTCCAGTACTCTGCAGTGCCCCAGCTGCACAGAGGCGTGTTCGACTGGAGGCTGGACTTCCACTGGGAGGCGCTGTCTGAGCAGGAGGACCCACCCACTCGCCCCATCCAGTAAACACACATATGCACGCATACACACACGCACGCATACACACTCACACACACGCACACACACAGTTGAACTCCATCACCTCCTCACTGCTTCCCAAAGGCCTCTGTTACACCTGGACTGTTCACTCACTCATTACTCAGCAGTTCATCTCAGTTTACTCATCTGTGTGTGTGTGTGTGTCTGTCCTCTCTCCAGGAGTCCTGCTCTGTCCGGGGTGGTTCTTGCTGTTGACAGGCGATTCTTCCAGAAGATCGGAGCCTATGACCCAGGCATGGGGCTGTGGGGCGCCGAGAACATTGAGCTCTCCATCAGGGTGAAGCTGCCAGCCTCCCTCTGTCTCTCTCTGCCTCCCTCTGTCTCCCTGCAGGATTCCTTGGCTCTTTGGCATTTCTGTCCCAAAGCTCAGGGTCTCCTCCTGTCTGTCTTACTTAGAGACAGCTTGCATGTGGTACAGAGAGTCAGAATTTACTGGAGACAGATGTGTGTGTGAGTGTGTGTGCGCGTGCGCGCGCGTGCGTGTGTGAGCATTATCCAGAGTGACTTACAGTTTTATCCATTTATTAAGCTGGATATTTACTGAGGCAATTGCAGGTTAAGTACTTGGCCCAAGGGTGCAGCAGTGCCCCAGCGGGGAATTGAACCGGCAGCCTTTTGGTTACGAGCCCTGCTCCTTACCACTACGCTTCCCTGCTGCATGTGCTTGTGTGCATGCGGTGGTGCTGGCTCCTGGCTGGAGAGGCTCTCACTGTGTGCCCCCACCGCAGGTGTGGCTGTGTGGGGGGGTGATGGAGGTGGTTCCCTGCTCCCGCATGGGTCACCTGGAACGCAGTCACCTGACACACACCCTCCCCGACGACGACACTGCGGAGAAGAACAAGATCCGAGTGGCTGAGACCTGGATGGATGCTTACAAACAGATCTTCTACAAGCGAGACACTGTGGCATACTTCATCCAACAGGTGTGTGTGTGAGTGTGTGTAAGAGAGAGAGAAAGCGTGTGTGTGAGTGTGTGTGTATATCTCTGTGAGAGTATGTCTCTCTCTGTGTGCCTGCAGGCTGAGAGCTCTAACTGCTCTGACAGAGTTAAGCTGCGTCAGACTCTGGGCTGCAGGAACTTCCACTGGTTCCTGTCCAACATCCACCCAGAGCTGTACATCCCCCAGGACCGGCCCGGGCTGTCCGGAGAGGTGAACCGCTGCCCCCGCCCCGTACGCTCCACCCCGTACCCCCCGCATGCCCCCGCATACCCCCCCGCATGCCCCCCGCACACCCCCCCACACGCAAACCCCTATGTAATGAACACTTGCATGATATTGGCATATTCCTAAAATTGATGTTTCAATATGTGGCATGATTACATTGTGATATTAATGTATTTCATAACATCTGTGTGTGTGCAGTGCAGTGATGTTGTGATATTAATATATTTCATACCGCCTGTATGTTTGAAGCTGTACAATGTTGGCACTGGCTATTGTGCAGATTACAAGAGAGGGAGGGTAGGGGGTGTGGCCATGGACATTTCCCCCTGCAGTGGAAACGGTAACCAGGTACGGCACAGCGCCATTACATATTACATTACAGCTCTGTAACTGCACAGAGCCATTACAGCACATCACCATTACACATTACATTATACATTACATCGCCGTTACATCACAGAGCCATTACACCACAGAGCCATTACATTACAGCTCTATAACACCACTGCAGCATTACAGCACGGTTCTCTTCATGCTATTGTTGTGTGACGGTGTGTAATGGCACTGTGTCCCCCCCGCGCGCAGCACTGTGAGCTGAACTCTCAGAGGGAGGTACGCTGGGGCCCCGCGGGGCAGCTGTGTTTCGATGTTCGGGGGGAGCAAGTGATCCTCTCCGACTGCCCCCAGAGACAGCCCTCCCTGAGCCGGCAGCAGTGGAAGATGACGAAGGTGAGAGAGCCGTGCAGTCGCTCACCTGAGCTCACAGGTACCCGAGTCCCCCAGAGGAGGGGCGGCTGGTACACCTGCCTGTAGCAGCCTCAGCTGCTGCAGGATACAAGGATAATATGCAGGAATGTAAGCTGTGTAAGTCACCCTGCAGTAAACTAATGCTGCTGCTGCTGGTACTAATGATGCTAATGCTAACTGGGGTGGTTTTCTGTACTGCTGCTGCCAGTACATTACATTACATTCTTTAGCAGACACTCTTATCCAGAGCAACTTACATACATTTTACTGTTTTTACATGTTATCCATTTATGCAGCTGGATATATTTCCTTAGGCCAGTGTTTCTCAACCCTACTCCTGGAGGCCCACTGTCCTGCACGTTTTCCATCTCTCCCCTACCTGACTGAACTCATCAGTGGCACTTTTGATTAGCTGAGCACACCTGATTTAATCAAGATCATGTTAATCACACTAATCAGGTGTGTTTGGAGCAAGGATATATAGAAGATATGCAGGACAGTGGGCTTCCAGGACTAGGGTTGAGAAACACTGCCTTAGGCAATTGTGGGTTCAGTACCTTGCCTAAGGGTACAGGAGCAGTGCCCCAGCAGGGAACTGAACCAGCAACCTTTCAGTTACAAGTCCTGCTCTTTACCACTGTGGTGCACTGTTGCCCAAAAGAGCTACAAAGTACAGCATCATTACATTATATGCATTTAGGAGATGCTCTTATCTAGACTTCCAGCACGAAGGTCAGACTCTGCAAAGGCCCTAGCGAGGATCAAACTCACAACCCCTGGTTCACAAGACCAGTGCTCTAACCACTGAGCTATGGAGCCATTGCATTACATTTCTTTAGCAGATGCTCTTATCCAGAGTGACTTCCAGCACAAGAGAAGCGTATCCATCCAAGCTGAGTGAGCAGCAGTGTCAGACCAGGCTAACACTCTCAGACCAGTGAGTGTGAGCGCGTCACTGTTCAGGCAGTTGTGTGGATGATACTAATGCTACCTGATGGGGGCGCTGTTTCTCCAGCAGAGCGGGCAGATCGTCCACATGATGACAGAACGCTGTGTGGAGGCCGTGCTGGGAAAGGGCGTGGCCAGCCAGAGGAACGGGACCAGCGAGAGGGGTGTGGTGGGTGGGAGGGACACGCCCGGCAACCGTGGCGCACAGGACAACGCAACGGCGACGGAGAGGGGGCTGTTCCTGCGCCCCTGCAGCTCCGACCCCCGGCAGCAGTGGCACTTCGATCAGCTGGTGGTTCCGAGGCCGGGCTGACGCGGGCGGGGCCACAGTTACAGACGCACAGAAACGGGACTGACCACACCCTCGGAAAACTGGGTGTGATCTGGAGCGCTCCACTCGATACTGTCACCACAGAAACGCCCCTCAGATGGAACTATTTACCCCCCGCAGAAGCACCTTTCAGTCCGTAAGCGTGGAGACCGAGTCCTGCCTGTGCCCATCGGGGCAGCTTTACAGCCACCCAGCAGGGGACCAGGCGTGGAACCAGAGACTTACAAGGTCAATTCTAGTGGAGCATTGTTGTTGGTACTTCACCTGAATTGTCTCAGCACATACCGAGGTGTATACATAGGTTACATGTAAAATGTAAACTGTGGGGAAACAGGAGAATAATATCTAGAGTGGAATTCTGAACAACTGCTCTGTCACTCTAACCAGACTGTGATAAGGCAAGTAACATTACAGTACATTACATGCATTTAGCAGATGCTCTTGTCCAAAGTGCCTTCCAGCACAATAGAACATAAGTGCATCCATTCAATTTGAATGAGCAACAGTGTCAGACCAGGCTATCAACACTCACAGACCAGACCAGGAAGTAACCTCCACATAGTTAAATGCCTGTAAAATATCCCCTCTTCCAGTCACATAATGGTAGCTCAAGTGCAGATATATAGCAACAATAAAATGTAATATGAAAATGTTTTCCTTGTCCCAAAGGTAGGGATTCCAGCACTTGTCATTCAAATTTACCTGTAACTTTTTTGTCACCTTGTCAACAGACAGGGACTTTAACATGACGTGTGCTCCGCCTAAAGGTGGTAGAGGTAATAACACATCCAGGGGGTGGGGCGGTGCAATGCAGGGCTGCAGGGAATGGACTTGCAGGTTCAAATCCTAGAATGGGCACAGCTGTTCTACTCCTGAGCAAAGTGCTGAATTGCTTCATGAAATATCAAGCTTTGCCAACTGATGTGTGAAATTAAATAAGTAACCTTTTTTTAAGTATAAAAGATTAGAATAGCTGTTTTAGTCTGTATTTGACAGTCTGTGTTCCTGTGTCAAATACTGACTGTTTTGCATCCAAGACTGTATATTGGAATCCCAGATTCAGACAAATACAAAATATTGATATCTGTGAATATAATTTGTGAAAAATAAGGTTACTGGATTGAACTTTTGAAATAATACAGAAAAGTAATATTTGGACTTTATTAGCAATTGTGAGGTAACTTAGTTGGTGTGTATCTGTTCAATTTGATTATTCTCTTATTTAAAAGAGATAGATCAATTATATGTTTTAATATATTTTAAACAAAAAATAAAACACCACTATGTTGACACTTATGCAACTCATGTCTGTGAAATGCTTGTACAATATATGCACTGTGATTATCCATGTCTGACCTCCGCGTGGAATTCCTGACAGTATTATCCTGTGGGGGACTTCTCTGAATAAAAGCACAAATGAAGGCTCTGGGCGGAAGTCTGTGTTCACACAGCACTTCATCCCTGAATATCGCTGAATTCCGCAGAAAGCACCCAGAGGAACCGTCTCCGCGGCGGCCGGTGTTCTGTGGAACAGCCTTCAGCAGAATGTCAGAGCCGCGAGTCAGGGCGGTGTCGCAACATGTCACCTCTGGCCCGGATAACAGGCTGAAAACACGTAATGGCTAATTATATCACTTGGAATTAAAACATTGACAGTAAAAGTAATAAAACAACTACTTTCACAAGGGGTTATAAGTCACGCAATGAAATGTTATCTTGCTGACAGATTTTATGCGCAGCTACATTCTGCAGACAGGGTAGAGCTTTTGTTCCAGCCGGTGGCTCTTGCCTGCCCCCTGTCGACAACACGCGTGAACTTCCGCCCCCTTTGCAGTCACGTACTTTTCCACATGCCGGCCCGGCAGCAGAATTACTTCCGGGGTCAGCGGCTGAAGGGTTCAGGCATGAGGAAGGTTATTTAACTGCTGCCTACAGTGAAGAACATATGAAATATATTTTTGTTTTTCGGTAAGATTACGTTGATCGTAGTCCGATAAAAGCAAGAAACTATCTAATTCGCATTATCAGATGCTTTCGCATTGCCAGCTTTGTTTCAAACGTGTTCGTGGAAGAGAAGGTGGAGAGAAACTCCTCCAAGGCTAGTAAGAACTGTGGTGTTATTTTAAATAGCTGTTATGATTAGTGGGTAGCTATATTAGGTAACATAACAGCTATTGAAACCAATTTCAGTTAACTGACAACATTATGTTAGCTGATCACATTATGCTGTTATACATTACTGATTTATAGATCGTGTTGTTTTAAAGACATAACTGCGAGCTTAGCTGAAGTATTAGATGATGCTGTTTGTGGAGTGTGTTTGCGGTGTGTCAGTATTGCTTACTTGCAGTTGAAATTGAGTTTTTGCTTGCTTTTGGTAGATTACATAAATTTGTCCAATCTGAGTTAGCTAGCTGACCAAGCTAACGTCAACTCATTCTTATAGACATCTGGTCGAGCAACCAATCGCTAGTCAACTTAGGTGACTGGGCGACATTTAAATTTAGCTGTAGCTTCCAAGTTATCAATCACTTGTCATTCTTCTTAACCAGCCATTGATCGCTTTCATTGCGTTACATTTAACTGCGTTGCTTTTAAGGCAGCAATACAGATGGGCCGGTGAAAAAGTCTCGGGTTGTGAAACAGCTTTGAGTTTGTTCTCTGTGCAGATATTAAACACGTATCTCTGTAAAGGAATGTAATAAAAAGGGTTTAAAAAATGCTGCTTTTTATCATCCACTCTCAGCTGATCTGTCTGGGTCCGTGTCCCGGGGGTTCCTGACCGTGTAGGTGCCTCCGCGATGACGGCTCGCTGTTTGCTGAGGGCGGCTGCAAGCTGCACGGCACCGGGAGCATCCAGACTGCTCCAGAGTCGCGCTTTTTGTCCCGATCTGGTCACAAGGTGAGACCCTCTGGAACCTGTCCCGCTTTGTGCCGGTCAGCTGGCGCTTTGCTGTCATTGTGTGGCGGAAACGGATTCTTTGCTTATTCTTGTTCCGGTCTATAACTACCTCGCTGCCGTGGTGGATCGCTGAGTTCGTCTGGAAGTCTCGTCAGATACCAAAATATGCTCGGTGCTGGATTTTATTTATTGAGCTGACAATGAGGTAAAACCCTTCTCTGAAATTTTGCTGGCTGACCTTCCTTGGGTCATTTGTGTAACAGACCACAGGGTTACGAAAGCAGCGTCGAACCTGTTTGGCACGCCGGTAAGATCAACCGGGCGATATTTCATAACCTCTTTGCATTTCAGAAAAATGACATCTAGACGAAAAACGGACCATCTAGAGAGAACAGCCGCCAACTTCAGACAAATGGTGAGTCTGTATTCTCATGCGGTTTGATTAACTTGACTCGGCTGAAGACTACCCTAACGCAACTGTGGAGCCGAAAGAGGACATACCGGCAATGCCCCTGTACAACTGTACCGCAGAGGAGAGTCGCTCTGATCGGGGGAGAATAATCTAGTTTCAGACCCATGTATTTCACAGAAATCTTTGTAGCTTGGAACAGACTTTGGTCCTAGTAGAGAAGAACGACCTTTGACCTGGAAGAGAGTTTTATTTTTAGCTGTCAGATGTAGATGGACTCTGATTGAATGAACTTGTGGTTTAAAATGTTTTATTTTTTAATCACACAGTTGGAAATTTAACCGTAGTTGAAAATTGAACCATAGCTGTTGAAAGATCACCCTGTGTGTGACAATCAGCTGCTGTGTTGAAGGGTTGTGAAAGTGAGTTAACTTCTCTGAAACAATGATCAGAGGAGATAGTGTCTGTAACTGTGCTGAGTTTGTGAGTGTGGGTGCGTGTTGATGACATCACTCTGTTCCAGGCCGCCTTCCCTGCGACCGTGTGCGGGATCATGAACGAGTCGGAACAGGTGAGGCGTCTCCGCCTGGCGGTCACACATCCAGACTTCAGCTTCAAAGCAGGACAGTGGTGAGTGACACGAACCAGGCCGTGCTGGAGTGGGCTCTCTGCTTATGTAGGTGCTAGCCTGTGGCGCTAAGGCATTCCGCTGGCTCTCAGAACAGGCATTCATATGATTAAAAGCAAATTCCATGAACAATGTTTATAAATGATTAAAATTTGACTCTCCAGAATGAGAAAATTATGGTCTACAGGGTCAGAGAAAAAGAATAATGGGACCACATCTTTTGGTTTCATCCTAAAGAGTAATCATATAGGAAGATTTTGATTAATGAGAAGAGTTTGATATTTGAATTATTTTGTATTAGTCGTTTTCCATTTTATGATTCATTACAAAATTGCTTCCTGAGGCTTCTTAAAGCACCTGTTGCCCGAGTTTCTGTAACCCGTGATTATTTGCACCTCGTGATGTTCGGGAAGCTTGAAACTATTTTGGTTTCTTCAGCAAAATCTGTGCTCCAAGTAATTGAATTTACGAGGTCTGGCCAAGAGAGTACAGTGTGTCTAAACAGATTTTCTGTCTGAAGGAATGTAGTAAATCCGTAATAAACGCAATACCGTTATTGACCACTAGAGTGTGCTGTTACTGTTCAGTTATGCTTAGGTAA